AAACAGAAAAGAATAAATAAAAAAAAATAAATGCAGAAATCAATGCCGGTGCGGACAGCCTCGTTCAGCTGAGCAGTTACAAGTTCCACCTTTTCAGAGTTCAAAAAAGAGCTATATTAAAAAATGGAAAAAAAAGAGGAAAAGAAAGAGCCAGAGCAGCCTAACTTTTCATACCCAGGGGAGTGATGCGGGGACGGAGGTTTGGGGGGGGGGAGGTTTAGGGGGGGAGGGGGGGAGAGGAACAGGGGAATGAGATGGGGGGGGTAGAGGGGAAAATGAGATGGGGGGGGGTTACAGGGGAAAATGAGATGGGGGGGGTAGAGGGGAAAATGAGATGGGGGGGGGAAGAGTTACAGGGGAAAAGGAGATGGGGGAGTTACAGGGGAAAATGAGATGGGGAGGGGGGGTTACAGGGGAAAATGAGATGGGGAGGGGGGGTTACAGGGGAAAATGAGATGGGGAGGGGGGGTTACAGGGGAAAACGAGATGGGGGGGGTTACAGGGGAAAACGAGATGGGGGGAGGGGTAGAGGGGAAAAATTAGATGGGGGGGGGAGGGAGTTAGAGGGGGAAATGAGATGGGGAGGGGGTTGACAGGGGAGAAGAGTTAGAGGTGACAATGGGATGGAGGGGGGGGGGTAAGAGTTACAGGGGAAATGAGATGAGGTGAGGGGAAGGAAAGGGAACAAGGGAAAAGGAGATGGGGTGAAGGGGAAGGAAAAAGGGACAAGGGAAGATGAGATGGGGGATGAAAAGAGTCACAGGGGATGATGGGATGAGGGAAAGAAGGAGAGAGGGAAGGGAGGGAGAGACGAAAAGCGGAAGAGAAGAGGGGAAATTGGTGGAAAAGGAAAGGTAGAGGGAGTGGGGACGGAAGAGGAGAGATGGGAGAATAGAGGAAAGAGGAAAAATGAAAAGGAGAGGCAAACGTTAGAAGACGAAAAAGGAAGAAGAAATTTTTAAAATGGGGGAAACATCAAGAAAAACAAGAAAAAAAAACGAGAAGGCAGAAAAGAAATATGAAGAAAAGGAGAAAATGAAAGAAGACAGACAGAGAAAAGAAGAACGGGCAAGTAAGGAAGAGGAAAGAGAAGAGAAAAGGGAGACAGGGAAGGAGGGAGGGAGAGAGGGAGGGAGGGAGGGAGGGAGGCAGGAGTTAGCACGCTGCGGCCGTTCAACTTTAATGCCCTGCGCACATTCTGCAATGCCTACAACACTGGCCATTTTGCAAGGGGAAGTGAGCAGCGACAGCGTTAAACAGATGGACGGGGACCTTTCAACTCTATTAATATCATCGAACGTGGATTGATCAGCATGACTGGGATTCGATGCTGGCTTTGTGTTAACGGATATTGCGTGCGGGGGAGGGAGGGAGAGAAAGAGGGAGAGGGAGAGAAAGAGGGAGAAGGAGAGAAAGAGGGAGAGAGGGAGAAAAAGAGGGAGAAGGAGAGAAGGAGGGAGTGAGAGAGAGAAAGGAGGGGGGGGATGGAGGGAGAGGGAGAGAGACGAGGGAGAGGAAGGAGGGAAAGAGAGAGAGAGGTAGAAAGGGAGAGACGGAGAAAGAGAGGTACGGAGAGGGAGAGAAGTAGGGAAAGGAGAGAAAGGAGGGAGAGCGGGGGGAGAGGAAAAGAGAGATAAAGGAGGGAGAGACGGAGAAAGGATGGAGAGAGAGAGAAAGGATGGAGACGAGGAGGGAGGAAGAATGAAAGGAGGAAGGGAGGGAGAGGTGGAGAGAGAGAGAGAGAGAGAGAGAGAGAGAGAGAGAGAGAGAGAGAGAGAGAGAGAGAGAGAGAGAGAGAGAGAGAGAGAGACAGACAGACAGACAGACAGAAACAGACAGACAGACAGACAGACAGAAACAGGGAAAGACAGAGAGTTAAAAACAAAAAGAGAAAGAGGGAGAGAGGGAGAGAAAGGAAACAACGGATTCACTTTTCCAAGCGAAGGCAGTGGGGCGCATGTTCTTATCTTTGTTTCCGTGTCTGGAGAATTTTGTGTCTTGTTACATCTCTCTCTCACTCCAATTTGTGTGGTTGATGCATTTATGCTGCTTCCACTTCCTCGTTATCATCTTATCTTTTGTTCCATTATCGTCATCCTAATCTTTCTTTCTTTTTCTTCTTCTTAGCGTTTTTCTCTCTTTCTTTTACCCTCCTCCTCTTTGTCGTATTTTTCTCCTTTTCCTAATGTCTTTTCTTTTGTTCTTTTATTCAGCTTATTCTTCGTATTCTCTTTCGATTTGTCATATTCCTTTTTCATTCATTATTTTCCTGTCGTCGTATCATGTACATATCCGTTTCTTACTATAATCTCTTAGTTCCCCATTTCCATCTATTTTTATCTGCTCGTTTTCCCCCCTCTTTCTTTTTTTATTATGTTTTTTTTTCTTCATTGTTTCTTCATCTTTTCCATTCTTCTTCTTTCTTTCTTCTCTTCTTCATTTTTTTCTATCTTCCTCTTCTTCCTCCTTCTTCTTTTTCTTTTTCTTCTTCTTTTTATCT